TGCAGTCTTTAGGAGGATACTTGGATGCAGTGGATATGGAGTAGGGGGCACTGGAATTTTTAAAAACTCCACGAGTGATTTGGATGTACACCTCTAGGTCGGAAGAAGGGCTTTGAACTGTTGCTAAATTAGTGTTCTACACAACTTCCAATTACTACATCACTCTCCTGCCCAGAAAGCTCGGGTTGCTATTTGTTACTATGTCAATTCATACTTTTCTGCTTGGCCTTGGCCTTCTCCCCTCCCATCCAGCTTCTCCCTTCCCCAGCAGTGCTCATCCGTGATACTCAAACAGTCCATTGCTCACATCTACCTCTGTGCCTTCACGTGTGGTTTTTCCTTTGTCACCTATAAGGATGGATCCTACCTTTCATGATTCAACTCAAATGTCACCCCTTCTGTGGAAGTTTTCCCAGAAGATTTCTTTTTCCTGAAATTCTACAGTATTTCTAGCCTATACCATAATGAGTTCTGTCAGGGAATGTATCTTATCACGTACCACTGTTTTTTTTGGATTAGACTTGAACAACCAATCAGAATGAAGAACCAAGTAGAGAGCGGGAACCACGTCTTTTACATCTGTGTCTTCTACAGCACTGAACATAATCGTTGGCACGTTGCTACCTGCAGGATGTCCTCCACATCCTAGATCTGGGTTAGCTATTTCTTCTTTACACACCTGGGACATCTCGCTGTATCCCAGTTACGTTATAAGTGTGTCGCAACTCTGCATCTTAAATGTGTTTCTTCTTTTCTCTTATAGACAGGAAACTGTGAGAGCAGGGCCCGCATTTACCTGGTTTATCACTGGCCCCCTAGTCCAGGTCATGATGTGTACTACGTGCTCAGTGCAAACTTTTTAAAATACTGGATAATGATTTTAAAATATATGTTTGGTTGAGACTGAGACAAATGGACCATGTAGCATCTGTGGCATCGTAACAGTTTGGCTGACTTGGTTTCAGGTACAATAGATCAGCATAATCTAAACCTTCCAGTGAGCCAGGTAACTAGCCTTTGGTTATATACTCAATTGTGTCACTTTCTAATTATTTTCTATACATGATTACTTTTCTTGCCCTTAAAATTCAAGCTCCTGGAGAGCAAAGAATAGGATTTTTTAAATTTCTGTTTATCTCCCATGGTTCCTACCTCAGTGAGTATTTCTTGATTTGATGTCATTAAATGTAGTTTTAAAAGAGCCTGTGTTATAACATATCTGCCTGGTGCTAAACATCTGTTGCTCCCTAACAAGTGCTCCATTCATTTTAATGGCACTGGTGCGCAGAGGTAAACAGAGCCTTGGCAGGCCTTCCATAAAGGAAACTGTGTTTGCTTCCTTCATTAATTACTAATGGAGCATTAAGACATGCATTCTCCCTTAAGCCAAGTTGGATAATTCCTGGCACTTAAGGCCAGGGTGCTTTCAAAAGTTGAGACATGTATTGACACACCAGAAAGCTTGCCTTCTAGCCAGCCCAGTGGTGGCTCTAATGCCAAGATCCTACAAAGCTTCAAATATATCACTACCAAGCATACTGATGTGTCTCTCTAACCCTTTGCAGGTCTTGGGTTAATGTGGGATCACAAATTTGAATTTCTAGAATGTCTCCGAAGGTTGGCACGGCAGTATGAGGTGGAAAAATCATCAGAAAGATATCTAAAGATTACAAGTTAAAGAATAATCAAAGATTTACCAAACAAAACAATGGAATGAGAGTGGCAATGCTAATAGAAGAAATAGGTATAAAAATGTGATTTATCAGTTAATTTTTTACTTAGCCAATTAATAACACAATTAAAAATGAAGAATTTATACCCTTGGACATGCCAACTAGCATAGCTTCTAAATGCTAAAGCAGAAACAGTAAGAAATCAAAGAGATTGATAGATACTTATTGGTAGTAATAGATTTTAACAAATAGCCATCCAATTATGATAGATTAAAGAGCTAAAATATGAGGATATAAAATAATATGATTAAGAATGCTGAATAACTGACTATATTTAGATGTTTATGGGTTGTATAAAATACATCTTATTTTAAATAATCACATGGAAAATTTAGAAAAATAATAACCATTATTTTTCAAGTGTAGAAATTTTGCAAGCTACTCGCTCCCATCACAAAGCAGTGAAATATAAATGTCAACAAAATAACCCACTTGGTGGCAACTATATTTGGAAACTAGAGGAATTTGGAATTAAAGGAGGTACAAATTATCCTTTTAGGGATAAACGTTAATCAAACATAATAAATTGAGACAGAAAGATGCAGAGTCACTTCAAAGAGACGATATGATTCCCAGGACACTAAGATCTAGCCAGGATCCTACTGAATATACTAGCATTTCCAAAGAAAAAAATGTGTCAATCCAAAGGGGAGCTTGTTCAACCAAAAAAGAGGAAAAAAAAAGCAAGTGTCAGAGGGCGCGTCTTGGCACAGCTCATCCGGGGGGGAGGAAGCCTCCCCCAACTAGACTTCAGTAATACTGACAAGACTGTCCTTCTTGTGAAGGTGGAAGTATGGTTATTTTAGCCGATTTTGGTTCTAATTCTAAGTCGCCTTTTGATTTTGATGTGGCGCTTTGTGTATAGGTCTGTGTCCAGGGCAATTGTGCGTTAAGGGAGCTGGGTCTCAATAAGGTTTATAAGTAGGGATTCATTCCAGGAAAAGCTGCTCTGGTGCTGGAAAGGTCAGGTTCCTCCCCTTTACAGGATGTTAAGCCTACAAGAGACGAGAGTCCAGAAACTGACGTGCATTATATATACGTATGTGTACAGCAAGTTACACCACATCGGTTGTTCTTACTCACTGCTGTGCCTTCGTGCTCAGAGCAGGCTTTGGTATATGTAGGGCACTTAAATATTTGCCGAACGAATGAAATAAGTAGGGAAGGACAGAATCACTTAATAAATTGATGATGGGATAATTGGTTAATTATTTTACATGACCTAAAACACATAGCGTATGAATTAAAGAGTAAAGGTTTTTCTTTTTTTACTGAAGTAAAGTTGACTTACAATATTATGTGAATTCAGGTGCACAACATAGTGATTTGATATTTTTATAGATTGTTCACCATAGAAAATTTATTGTAATATTTTACTGTGCTGTACATTACATCTGTGTGAGTTATTTATTTTGTAACTACAAGTTTGTACCTCTTAATAACCTCCATCTATTTAACCAAACCCTCCCTTCAACCTCCATTCCCCTCTGGCAAACATGAGTTTGTTCTCTGTGAGTCCGTTTCTGTTTTGTTTTATTTGTTCGTTTGTTTTGTTTTTTTAAGATTCCATACATAAATGTAAACATACAGTATTTCACTTAGCATAATACCCTTCATATCCATCCTTGTCATAAATGGCAAGATTTCATTCTTTTTTTATGGCTAAGTAAGATTCAATTGAATATATATACTACATCTGTATCCATTCATCTGTTGATGGACATAAAGGTTGCTTCCCTGGCCTGGCTACTTTAAATAATGCTGTAATGAATATTGGAGTGCATGTGTCTTTCAGTGTTTTTGTTTTCTTTGGATAAATAGCTGGGAGTGGAATTGCTGGGTCAGATAGTAGTTCTGTTTTTAAAATTTTGAGGAACAACCTCACTATTTTCCATGGTGGCTGTACCAAAGAGTTAATTTTATAAATAGAAAAATCTAAAAGAAATATCCAGATGTTCATAGTGCTTTGAAGGGGCAACAATTTTGTAAGTTTAGAAGGCAAGAAGAAATCACAAAATGTAATGACAAGAAGTCTGACTACATAAATATTTAAAACTTATGTTAGAAACTATTACAGTAATAAGTAGAATTCAGCCAGACAACATGGGAAGATGTTTGCAGGAACTGTAACAGCCAGAGACTGATATCTTTATTATGTAAAATGTCCATGCAGATTGATAAGAGAAACACTAAAATTCTGAGAGCATAAACAGACAACTCACAGAAAAGAAATTAAAGCTAGGAAACAAACACATGGAAAAATACTTGACTGAGCGAGTAATCAAAGACATTCAAAATAAAACAGTAATTTTTCTAAATTAGCAAAGAAAACAGAAAACTTTATTTTTATAAAACCCAGTGCTGGTAAAGATGTTATAAAAATGGTATTCTCAGATTTTGTTGATGATATTTTATAAATTGGTACCTCCTTTTTGGCAAACAGTTTGTCAATATAATACAATGAGCCATAAAAATATTTATAGCCTTTGCCCCAGTAATATGATTTCTGGGAATCTATCCTGAGGAAGATTAATCTAAAATATGGAAAAAATTAAATGCCTAAGAGTAAATTGGGAAACACTAAAAGGCCGGCAGTGGGGGAATGATCAGAATGTTGTGGTAGAGCCACCGGGTGAAAGACTACACGGTCACTTATAACATGGGAATAGACGCCACGCGACCACGTGCTTTAATAGTAAGTGAAAAACGGCTAAACACTTAGATATAAAGAGATGTGCGGAGAAGACAAGATTGCAGTAAATACACCCAATTTTAAGTGGCCGATCTAGCATAACGGGAGGACAGAGACTTTTTTCTCCATCTCCCTTTTCTTGGTAACGGGTGGTCATTCAGCCTGTCCACTTCCCTGGATGCCCGTTGCCTCCTTGTCTCTTCTCCAAGCTCCGTGCCAGCTTCCAACGCCCTCCCCATCTGTGTCAGTGCCACTCACACTCCGACTCGTCCAAGAAGCCCTCCCCATCCTGGCAGCCAAATGAAACTCTCCTTTTACTCCGCTCCCACTGCTGCGTTGTAACACGTCTGTTATAGCACAGATACAGTGTGCCCTGTGTGGAAGCGGTGTGTGTGCAGTCTTTGTCTGTTTCCACAACTAAATTCTTAACCCCCTAGAGGGCAGGAACGGTTGGATTTCCTTTTCTCTCTCCACCGCGTGGAGCACAGTGCTTTGCCTGTATGGTATGCCTGAATAAATATTAGTCGAAGTGAATGTAATTGCACTGCAATGAACTACCTGTGCTTCCCTGGCAGGTGGAGCTCATGAAGGCCTGCAGCACTTGGGTCCTTTTGGCAACATCCCAAACATCGTGGCAGAGTTGACCGGTGACAACATTCCTAAAGACTTCAGTGAAGATCAGGGCTACCCAGACCCTCCAAATCCCTGTCCTGTTGGAAAAACAGGTAATGGACATGCCCCTGGGTTCCCATGGAAGGTAGAGGCTTTGGGAAGAAATTTAAAATTTTAACATCAGCTGCACATATTCAGAGAAATACCATTTCTAGTCTGATGAGCCCCTGTGTATCTGGACAAAGGTTGGAAAGGAAAGTTGATTCTAGAACCTTCGGTGAGTTCAATATTCAGATACTCCCACAGAGGACTCTCTCGCCAAGGCTTAATCTTCTGTCTCTCTCCTTCTTTGGGAATTGATGCTCCTTTCTCCACTTGCTCCACTTTTAATAAAAAGGGAGAAGGATTTTCTCTTTTTCAGCTCTTCTGTGGTACAATTGCAGCCCATTTTTAGTTTCTCTGGAACTTACTGTTTAGTTTGTGGATGACCCGTGCCCATTTGTTTCCCTCACTTCTTTTGACAATTGACAGTTCAACTATGTCGTAACCAGTCAGCATCTATCCTGAAATCTGTCTTTGGGGGCTGGGAAGTGGCATGAGAGAGAGGGGATCCAGTAAGGTAGGAAGGTGGTTAAGGAAGGGGGTTGAAACTTTCCTGGCTACTCCTGCCTCCCTCCCGCTCTCCCACCCCCAATGCCAAAGAGAGCAAATGGTGAGTGGGCTCCACTTATGCTGGGCTTCAAGCAGCCTACCTTGGTGGTTAAGAGTAGTGGCTCTGAATGCAAACCCAAGGTCAAGATATGTGACCTTGAACAAATTAATGAACCTCTTGCACCTCAATTTCCTTATCTGCAAAGTGGGGGTGGTTGTGAGACGTAAATGAAATTATCCATGTTAAGCACTTGGCACAGCACATAGCTCAGAGTTAGGACTCATTCAGTGTCATCCTGATTATAAGTAGCTTTGCCCCTAATAAGAAATGCATCTCTCTCCTTGGGCTTGTACTGACTTCTAGCACCAGAGTAGTCTTCCCTAGCCTAATAATGATAATAATAGTAATAATAATAATTATAGTGATATTTATTATCCCTACTTTACATACAAGGAAACTGAAGCTTAGGGAGAAACTTGCCCAAGGTTAGCCATGTAAACCAGTAGCTGATGCGAGACTCAAACCCAGGTCTACCTGACTCAGGACCATGCGTTCAGCCACCGTAATGTGCTGCCTTGCTCTGGAAATTCTTGCAGTTATGGCCCCTTAGCTTTTCTTAAACACAATATGAACTCTCTCTGGAAAATAATCCTCTTTCATTTAGGGTGAGGTCTCTGTTTTCCATGGGGGATAGAGCCCCCGTTCTGGGATGGGACAATTAAAGTAGTTGGATGTGACCACACCAGTGTGGAGATGCTGGCCCCAGGCCCCAGAGAAATCTGAATCACTGCACAGAGCCAATCACTTCAGCCACATTTCACTTGCTTGTGGGGCTTTGGATGGCTAGGAATGAGACAGGAGGGAAGGGGGCAGGGGACAACCATTAAAAGGAGTGACACAGCAATTAAGGACAGGACAAACTGGTTAGAACCAAGATGGCAGAAGACTCAACTTCCAGTAGACCTTGAGCCTCACGGCACACCCACAGGTGCCATGACCGCTCCTAGGCTGACTGCAAAAGGTCAAAAAGTGTAGGGGCCCAATTCCTGGAAATCCCTACCCCTTCCCCAAAATAGTCGGAATAATCGTCCCACTCGTTAGTATATGAAATTACCGAGCCCATGAAAACCAACAACTCTGCACCTCGTGGTCTCTGTCTCTCTTGCCTTCTGAGAAGCCTGCACTCTGTGTAGTGTGTGTCTATTTTTACTTTATAAACTAAACGCCTCCACACCTGTCGGTCTCTCTCCCTCTTGCCTATGGAGTGTGTATCTCTCCCTTCTGAGTGAGACAAATCGCACTGTGTCTAAGGAGTGTGTATCTCCCTGGATAAACTTGCTTTCACTTTACTATGCCTCACTCTTAAATTCCTTCCTGTGCGAGGCAAGAACCTATTCTCTGGCAACAGAAAGAAAGGCCAGTTCAGAGTTTGAAGAGTAATAGTCTCCGTGGGGATTTGGGTAAACTGATTAGCTATAATATAGTACAGTGGTTCTTCATGTGTAGTCCCGCAGCATCAGCATTACCTGGAAACTGATTGGAAATGCAGATTTTCAGGCCCTACCTCAGACCTATTGAAGCAGAAATTCTGACAGCAGGGCCCAGGAATCTGTATTCTAACCTGCCTTTCTTGTGATTTTAGTGCATACCAACATTTGAGAATGGCTGTCAAGAAAACCAGAGTTTGGGTCGAGAGATTTGAGTTCTAGTCCTGATCACAGCATGTCAGTTTATTTCCCCGAGCCTCAGTTTCTTCATGTGTAAAATGAAGACGTAGTCAGTGCCTTAAAAAATGTTCAATGTAGTCCTAGCTCATCCTGGAAAAACAACTATGTAGATCTGTGTAATCAAGCACTTTGATGCTCTGAGACAGAGCAATCGGGGCAGGTTGGTAGAACTGAATAAAAATCCAGCTCCCAGACCCTTTCTAGAATGAGATAATCTGCCATTTCTTTCCCTGCATTTCTATTAAGCTCACATACTTCTCCTTTTTTGTTCTACCATAATTTGCATTCTAAAAAGGAAATCACTTGCTAAATTTAGCCATTATTTGTAAGAAATTGCTTGGGATCTGCCTCACTGAGAATCATGACACCGCACAGTCTAGCAATCCAAGAATAGAACCTTGACTTCCCCTCCCAAGCCATGCCTGCCTCTGAATCATGGCTGGCTCACCCCGTAGAGCAGCAGCCGGAACTCAGTCTGTCCTCATCCTTGGAAATAGGATGTGAATTCCAGGGCACATTTTCAGACACCTTGGGTTCCCAGAGCAGGGCTTTATCTCTGCATCTCAGTCTGGGGTGGGGGGCCACTCAGAGGTACTTGAGAAACAATTAGGAAGAGGTCGTAAAGCTGCCATATACAGACTGCCTGACCTCTCTGGCTTTGCTATTCCTCTCCTACATGTTAATTGCTGTAGATAAAGAAGTGAGATAAAGAGTCCAGTAAGAAGTGGGGAGCCCCATTGGAGCCACATTAGGGATTTGTTTCAAATGCCGGTGCCTTCCACACAAGCTTCCTGCTGCTAAGAGCTGAGAGACTGGATGCTGGAAGGCGTCAGAGCTGTCTCGAGAGACCAGACTACCTGGGCTGATTGTATTAGACCCCTTGTAGCCTTGACTTTGATGGAAAGGCTTGGAAAGGAAGTCCCTCTCATTCTCCTTGTCCTGCACAAAATTCCCAATCCCTCCACTGCCGCCCCGCTTTAAAGCTGTTGTCTAAAGCACATTAGAGACAGAAAGAAAATAACTCATTTTCTGAGCACCATGTCTAGCAATGATAGAGCTTAGGTAAAAGCAGCAGCCATGAGGGATAAACCTTCCTTGGGTTTGAATGGAAGGCGCCCTTCATTTCAAAGAGCAGTGATAGTATGAACCGTCCTTTAAAGAGAGATGGTGGGAAAGGAACTAAAACATAGAGCAAACCTATTATGTACCAGGTGCTCTTTATATAATCATCTCCGTCCCTCACAGTTACCCTGTAAGGTAAGGATTTGATTATTTCCATCTCAGGAATGAATAAATGGACTTAGAGAGACCAAGTTAACTTCCCCAAGGAACCAAACTCATCTATCACTTAAGAACTAGGATTTAAACTCTGAGCTCAGGTCTGTCTGACTTCAGGCTTACCCTGTTACCGCTACAACACACAACATCAAGTACTGTCTAATAATTATTGCTCTTATATAATGTACTTTCTCCTTGAAGCCAAAATCATTTCTAAAGAGCTCACTCAAGGGAAAACAGAGTGAGTCATGTGTCATGAAAGTCTATTAGTTAAGGAAACACTCACTGTGATAACAGATTAAAAACAATAGTAGCTTAACACAATAGAAGTTTATTTCTCATTTGTGTGAAGTCCTGCCAGAGCTGGGTGAGGGTGTGGTGGGGGTGGATGGTTCAATGACCCAGAATGTCATCTTTTATCTTTACACTTGACATCCACAGTTGCCCTGGTCAGCAACATGTAGCAAATAGACCAACATATGGTGGGGGTGGGGGTGGTTTCAGGGAGGAGGGTAGGGGGTCTGTAAAGAAGATTTTTATGGGCCAGCCTGGAAGTGGAGTACATCACTTCTGCCCACATTCCATTGGCCCAAACCCAGCCATATGACTCCACTTGATTGTGAAGCAAGGCTGGGAAATTAGCTGTGTGCCGACAGGGAATGGGAAGTGGGTTTGGTGAACAGCCAACCAGTCTCTGCCATGGAGAGGAGAAGAGTGGGAGTCTGGGGTGAGCAAATCCCAGAGGGAAAGTGACTTAGAGTGACTGATGTGAATAGATTCTGACCTTTGGATGTCTAGTTGTTTTTAATAAATTAACTCTTAGAATAACAATAGACGCCTTGGCTGTTCCTCAAAAACCTTCTGTTGTTTGCAGTAGATGATGGATGTCTCGAAAACACCCCTGACACAGCAGAGTTCAGTCGAGAATTCCAGTTACACCAGCACCTTTTTGATCCAGAACATGACTATCCAGGCTTGGGCAAGTGGGTAAGTCCCATCTTAATTGCTCATGGGTCTTATACTCTGGTACTCTGAAGGTACTGATGACAGAGGTGAGCAGCGTGGGTGGGGAGAGAGAAGCAAAATTGTTTAGAAGCTGATGTTTTCCAGAAATCTCTGGTTCAGAGGGACTTTAATTCCAAACCACACTCAGTATCTAGGGTGCAATATACCAACCCATCCCAGGAGTCAGTGACCTGAACCAGTCTCATGGGCTGTGGTCTCCAGAGGCTTCCACAGCTATGTCATAACACATCCTAAAGTCTCACCAGTGTTTCATGCAGCTCTTACAGGAAGTATATGATTTTTCATAAAAAAAAAGATATTAAGAAAACTTGCACGTTTTATCTCTAGACTGAGGGAGATGATCTCTACAGAGATAAGGAAAAACCATGCCAGAAACTTAGAAACAGACATGCAATTCTGTTTTATGAAAAGAGAAGAAACATTCCAAAATGTGTAGCAGTGAACTTGCTGTCAATACCAGGCAAGAATCTATAACTGTCCATTAAGGAAATTGTTTATAAGCCCTCGGGAAGAGAAATCATGACCATTTGGCATAGGTCTGCTAAAAACAAGTTTTGTCAATCTAATTGTATTCATTTACTTGCCAGCTTTATTCATTTACTTGCCAGCTTGATGAGGGAAATGAAGTGAGCATGGTGCATTTGGACTTTGGCAAACTATTTGATGAGCTCGTTCACGATCTCCTATTGCAAGAGGTGGCGGGATATACAGCCTAGGCAGAAGAACATCACCAGAAGGGAGCTTGTTAAAGAGTCCATGTCAAGAGGGAGAGAGCTTTCACATGGTATCTGGCATGGCTTAGCACTAGCCCACTCCACATTTTTATAAATGTTTGTAATAAAAACTGTAGAACATGTACTTATCAGATTCTCAGAGGATGACACAAAGCTGGAAGGGATAGCACTGAATGACAGAGCTGGGATTCAGGAAGATCCCAACAGGCTGGAACAGTGAATCGAACAAGATCACAATTGAATGGAGATGGATCTAGCTTCCTGTGGTTTGGCTGATGTAATCAAGCCAATGCCATGTGAGAAAAGTGGAAAAATACTAAGGAGTGTTGGTTGACATATATGCAGGTGGTCAGTGCATCTGTGGAAGGAGTGAGTAAATGAGGAACGAGCAGATGCTTCTAACTGCCTAAGCCCGTCGAAAGCCACAGGTCTCTTCTCAGCTCATTACTGGCAGCCAACCTTGCTGCCTACTTGACTAGGAGTATTGTGGTTTCAAGACTAAACTCTCTTCCTTGCTTCTACGTAGTTTCAGAGAAAGCGGTCCCTCTTCATTAATGACCACTGTCATTTTTTCCATCATCCAGCCACTGAGTTGTTTCCCTCTACTGTCAACATGCACGTGTTTCCTGTCTTAAAACAATAAAGCAACAATACCCTCTAAGTTCATTTTGCTTCCTCCAATATGCATTCTTCTATTTCTCTTCTTTTTCATAAGCAGTTCTGTTAAGGAAGATTTGTAGAGCCATTCTGAAGCCTACTAGTAGAGTTTAAGCATTTTGAATTGCATAGGTGAGTATCTATGGGTTCTTGAATCAGAGGCGGAAATTATGAAAGTCTTCCATAAAAGAGTTATTCTGGTGGCATACAGAAAAATGAAATAGAGAGGAGACTAAAGGCAGGAAAATAAATAAAGGAAGTAATTCTAGTTATGAAGGCTGTGAACATAGTGGATTCAAGTGAATCCCTCCAACATGAGAATCCAAGACATTTCAAAGGGGACTGGGGAACTGACTGGAATTGGTATATGGTATAAACATAGTGAGGAGGGAAAAAGGGGCAGTCAGGTTTATGTGAAATAGAAGGTATGAACTTTTCCTCTGAGAAAATTTTTTACAAAAAAGAAAGGAAGAAGAGAGGGAGGTAGAAGGGAAAGAAGGGAGCAGAGAGAGGGTAGGAAAAAGTAGAAGACCAGAGTGGAGCACTGAAGGAATCCATGAGAAATGAGCAAAAGTATTGCCAAACAGAAGCAAGGGACAGGATGGAGCCTGCTTCGTTCCAGGCACAGTGCTAGGTGGTCCATGTACAGTAGTCATCAAGACATGGTACTGTCTTCAGTGAGTGTACCATCTTGTGGTTGAGATGAACTGCATAAAAAGAAAATGAACTCAACATTCGCACTGTTTAGCTTCAAAATCTAGCTCTACCAGGAGTACCAGGTACAATTCCTGGGGAAGATGGAAGAGAAGGGTGGAGGAAGACCCAGGACTGAGGACTCACACGGCCAACTGTACAATATCCATTGGAGATGTCAAAGGTGCTAGAAAGAGCAGCACTGAAGTCTAAGGTGAGAAGGTGCCTCGCATGACTGATGGGCTGGAAATGAGTTAAAGGAAGCAAGAAGGAGATGGAGAACAGTCTGAGGGCAGAGAGCCCAACTGAGGATGTGGGAGAGATGGAAGCTTCTCTCTTGCCAACTTTCCTCGCCTCTTCTTGAAAATCTTTACAGATTTCTCTCATCAGGTTCCACTCCCTCCCAGCACTCCAGGAAGAGGCCAACCACCATCTCTCATTCTCTTTGCTTCTGTCTCTAAATATTGATTTGTTTTCTCTTGGTCACCCCGATTCTCTGCCTACATCAGAACTAAAGACTAGAAGTTAGGACTATTACAGATCAATGACTAGGGACAATGTTTACACAACTTTCATCATCTGTAATGATGTGTTTGTTTAAACTTAAGTTTCCTTCATTTATTTTATTATTGCCACCTAGCAGCCAAACATGGTTTGCTTGTTCTTCACAGGCAAGTGTGAACTGAGTGTCTTGCTTTTCTGGTCTGGGGTCCCCAAGCCTTCCTTAGTGTTTATAAAGAATGATGGTCTCAAGCTTGTCGTAAGCTCAAGCATCCTTAAAGTTAACCAAGGAATTTTCTTTCACAAGAGGACTGCACATGAGACCTTGATTCCTTATTTACTAGTAATGTTTCCCTGTCTTTGACATTCCCTGGAGCTCAGCTGGGTCTTGAGCAGTGATTCACATATTATAAATATCAGTGTCTGTCCGATTTCCTGCATTTCTCTCTCTTTGTTAATGCATCAAGACACATTTATGAAATGCACATCACATGCCTTCCAGGCCCTGTGTTAGGTGATGGGAATACAAAGATGAATAATAACAGTCTTTGTATTTTATAATGAAACAGTAATAGTCATATATGTTGAGCACACACTGTGTGCCAGACACTATGCTAAATACTTCACATGAACTACTTCATTCTGTCTGCCCTTCTGATCATGCTCATTTTACAGATGAGAAAATACATGCTTAGAGGGTGCGAACAGCCTGCCCAACCCCGCAGAGCTGATGATCGGCAGAGCTAGGATTTGAACCAGATCATTTGACTCCAGGAGTTCTGTGAAACCTGAAGAAATGCTTCATCTTTTCAGAGATCATCACTCATAGGGTGTCCTGTTCAGTGGTCTGTCCAGTCCTATCTAGCACCAATGTCTGTCTCCATGGAGTGGCCATAACCCAAGGCCGGCTACCACAGATGTCCATCACCCTCTCCCTCACGCATTAACTGCCGAGTGTTACTCACTTCTGAAAAAGCTGTCTCAAAAAGCAGTTGTTTCTCCTTTCCAAGTGCCTCTCACATCTTTTCATCAGCAAGTTGGGTGACTGTAGGCTCTTCCTGAGCCGGAAGCAGCTGAACCTGAGCGTGAGCCTGAGTCTTGAGAGAACTGGGACAGGGGACCCTCCACCTCTCTTTGTCTTTCACACCCTCGATGTATCTGAAGAGTTGAATACTCTTTGGTTTGGGTTTGTCTCACGTTTCCATGTGACTAGACATGAGCTATGCCTTTCTGGTATGTTCTTGGTGTCTCACCTTGGGAGCCACAAGATGTCAGTTTGTCCCAGGGTTGGTGGCGACTTGGTCATAGTGGTGCCTGCCAGGTTTCTCCAGTGTAAAATTACTGTTTTTCCCTTTGAAATTAATAATTACTCTGTGGGGAGAGACTTCAAGACTGTATAAATATTCTGTCCCCATTAAACTTTCAGTGAACAGTTTCAGTATCCATTGATGATACTCACCGGAGTCAGTTACAACTAGGGTAGTTGTGAATGGTGATGTTTTTAAAACATTAAAAACTTACTCTTTTGGCATTTATTGGTTGGCATTCTGTTCTAAGAAAGAGTTTTCTCCTGCTCTCCAATTTATTTATTTATTTTAAAATTTATTTATTATTAGTATGGATTCATTGATTCCTATTATTTTGCTGTTCAGACTCTCCTAGATTTATTCAGCAGGAGTCTCTGCAAGCTGGCTTTTCTTTTCTTTCAACGTATCTCATCATTTTTTTTTTTTTGAGTACTTCCTGACTTTCTACCCAATTAGATATCCCAAATTCCTCCATGTAGTTTCGCTGCTCAAGTCCTGGAATCAGACATTTCTCCAAGAAGACTCCCTGGTTCCATTCAGGAATGCAGTTTGAAACCAGGATCTGGGCAGTTGTCCAAATTCTTGATGGCACAATGGAAAGCCCTCTTTATGAACTCAGATCTGCTACTCACATGGAAAACAGGCTCACCACGCCCCCTCCCCACCCCATCTACGAGGAGTGGGTGTCAGAAGACGGGCTGGTTTCTCTTCATTCATTTTGTCTACTTCTCTTACTCACACTAGACCTGCCAATCTCTGCCTTTAAATCCACACAACAGCAGGGCTAGTGGGTATGCCCAGCCACTGTCAGGCAGGGGTGGGAGGGCATTCTGCCAGTCCTAACCTGTGCTCTTAGGGAAACACAGGGACCATCTTTTCGAGGAAGCCTTGCCTGACCTTTCCATTTCTTTTTTTTTTAAATTGAAGTATAGTCAGTTTACAACATTGTATTAATTTCTGGTGTACAGCATAGTGATTCAGATATATATATATATATTCCTTTTCATATTCTTTTTCATTATAGGCTATTACAAGGTATTGAACATAGTTCCCTGTGCTATACTGGTGACCATAAATTTGTTTTCTATGTCTGTGAGTCTCTGTTTTGTAAATAAGTTCATTGTGTCATTTTTTTAGATTCCACATATAAATGATATCATATGGTATTTTTCTTTCTCTTTCTGGCTTACTTCACTTAGTAAGATGATCTGCAGGTCCATCCATGTTGATGCAAATGGCATTATTTCATTCTTTTTTATGACTGAGTAGTATTCCATTGCATATATATACACAGCATCTTTATCCAGTCATCTGTCAATGGGCATTTAGGTTCTTTCCATGTCTTGATTATTGTCAGTAGAGCTGCATTTCTTTTTGAATGAAGGCTCTTAGGGGTATAACCTGCCCCATGACCTTCGAAAGGAGAGTCAAGTGCTACTGCTTTTACCCCGCTGGTGGCACAGTGGACCTCTGCCGTGGCTGATGGGCTGTTCCGCCCCTTGGTACCAGCTCGCGGGCCCCTGTGCACTCCCTCCTGCTCAGGCAGCTCATCCTGATGATGCATGCAGAGAAGCCTCTTTCCCCACCCCCTGTCTCCCACCCCACTCCCCCAGCTCTGGCATCAACTCCTAGGACATTCTCTGAGCATCAGGAATTGTTCATCCGCAGGAAGCCAACTACAGACGACAGGAATGAGCCTCCCAGCGGTCTCGTCCTTCCTCGATGAACGATCTGCGCATCCGCCTTTTCTCCCTTCCGACATTAAACTGACCAGCTCCCCAAGCGAGCGTGAGATGGAGGCTGTGGCCAGGACCGGCCTTTTGGGCCGTGGAGGCTCCTTGACGCCCTGGCATGGCCTCTGTGCATAGTTGAGGTTAGGCAAGAAGTACACATGGTAAATGGTGGGTGGAGTAGATTTTAATGAACGTGAAAACTATGAAGCTCATTCTTGGCATTTGTCATTCATTTCCAAATCTACCATGAAAAAGCACTTGATATCCAGGCAGCTCAGAAGATACAAGTGTTGTATAAACTTGTTTCTTACCAGGACTCTGTCATCTCCTTTTTTTTTTTAAACCGATGTCAGGGTATTTTATTTAGAATAGGATGAATCACCTCTTTTATGCATTATCTCCCTTCTGATTAAAAAAATGAAATAAAGAAACAGTCCACGTAAACTCCTAACTCCCCTTCTCCCATTCTGGCTTCAGGTTAAGTGTTCTGTCTTTTATAATCCCAATAGAAGGGAAATTTATTCGGCATGAATCTGATATTCTAGAGCCCATTAAATCCACTGTGTTTGAAATTCAGCAGTATGTGGAAACGCTTATACAAACTGTGGTAACAGAACCCATTCCCTGCCGCCTCAACATAATTTTCCTTCTGCCAAGAAGTTTTTTTGGCAGTTTTTAAAAGGTTCACTCTATTAAAAACGTTATAGACCAAATGGTTTTCTGATTGTCTTGACTGGGGGCACTGACTGAAGCCACAAGAGAAAGGTTTGCAGAAGTTGGAATGTCTCGTTGATTTACATTGAGGATTGTTGCTAATAGACACTGCTCCGAAGAATAGTTTATGTGTACAGCTCATAAAAAGGAAGTTCCATACAGAAGTGAAATAAGATGAAATTGTTTGTTTGGAGCAAAGGCTGTTCAAAGTGAGGAGATGGGCCTCCGGTGCCCCTTGTGTGTTACAGCGTCATATTTTCTTGTTTACATGATTGTCGATGACACTGCAGTGCCTCGGGGCATCGTCGAGCACTTTATTTAAAGCTGCGTAACCACCGGCTTTTCTCTTGTGGTCTCTCTTTCTGACACGCACTCCTTTCATCTAGTTTTGTTTCCAAAATATGCGTATGCAAATATCCAGGGGGACGCAGCAAGTATAAAATAGACGGTGACCGAATGTGATTCATATATCTGCGTTTGTGTTTTCTTTTCTCCCCGCTCCAGAACAAGAAACTCCTTTATGAGAAGATGAAGGGAGGACAAAGGCGCAAGCGGAGGGTAATGCCTGGCTGGCGGGGCTGGCTGTTGGGATGCTGGAGCTTTCTGAGTGGAGCAGGTGGCCGGCGGTTACCCTCGGCTGTTGGAAAGGAGCAGAATCTTTTCACAGGCAGTCCTGGGAGGGCCGAACACTTGTCCCGCGTGACAAGGACTGTGCCTAGAAAGTCTGCCCTTGGTTTTTGCCATGGTTTCCCCCAAACCTTAGCACATTCTTTTTGGTGGAACGCCAGGTTTTGTGATGATTTCACTGCCTCCATTGCACTCACGAAATGCCTGTTGCATCCCTCCCGTGGGGTGGGAAGTGGGGAGCATATGCGGGGATGTCTGTCCTCAAAGGGTCTGTAGGCCACTGGGGAAAACTGCTCCCACGTCGGCATCAATTACATAAGAACCCAACGCAGGAACCAGGAAGTGCTGAACTGTCTGCTCCAGGCAATAATTTTGAAGGAATGTGGAGGCAAAAGATGAGATGAACAAACTCATTCCTTCTACACACCTTTCTCCTTGGCCTAACCAGATTGATGGAACACTCCACTAGATCCATTGTATTTGTTTGCTGACTGGTGAGTTTTCTGTAGGCTTAGTTTTAACCATCTCAGGGCTGCCCAGGGTGGTCTGGACCTCGGTTGGGTGCTGCACCTTTAGCCCCAACAGGGTTGCTTCTTGTAAAGGCTGGTGTCAAATCTGCTTTGAGACTCCAATGCATTTTATGGTGCTGAGACTGAACAAGTGGTCAGTGTAGCTCCTTCTAATCTGTTGATGCCTTGAACTAAGATAGAAGAGAGAAACCATACTTACAAATGTAACTGTAGCTGCAGTTACAGCGATCCATGGCACCCCTCATCCCAAGAACTTACTGACGGAAGTGCCTGGCCGCCTGCTATTTTTTTCTGATCAGATGGAGGAAGAAGTTCAAGTTCTGCTATTACATAGCAAAGTGCTGCCAGATAGTAACCATTTTCATTAAAATACACAAACCAAATTGCATACCCAAGGCTGTGTATTTAGAACAGCAAGTGCTTGGATCCTGGGAAAATTTGGGAATCTGGGCAGTGGTCACAGTAGCCCTTCTGAACAGTTTTGCCAGGTGCAGGCAGGGAAGGCTTTAAGAGGTGTGGATTTCCTGGAATCAGCACTCACTCCTCGGGCCCCTGAGACAGAACGTTCCAGGCCCCTGTGCTGCCTGACACAATACAGAGGGCCCCTGGCCAGTTTTCTATTCAAGAAGCAAAAATTTGCTTTGGAAACAGATCTTCTTCAGAGAGTGACTGTGGCTATTAGGGGGTTTTATTGGGTGATGACAGTTTTCAGTGGCAGATGGTGGCAGGAAAGGTCCGAAGGGTGTGATACGGTCTTGAGAAAACATCAAGAAATTTCTGTTCGAGGAGCTCAGAATACACATAATTTACCCGTAGGATGGCTTCAGTGTCTCCCCATGGCACAACAACGGCGTTTTCCAAATAAGACCAATGACCATACCAAAATGAGCAACTTAGCAAGAAGCTTTCCTTGTCCCTGCTTCCTTCTGCCCTGACTTGGTTAATGCCTGTGGGTCATGATTTAGGCCATTCTTGCATGAGACCAGTGATGACCAGAACTCAGGATTCTGGCTAGGACACATGTTATAAAGGATTTTACTTTGGCCTCCACTCCCTCCACATAGGAAAGGCTTAGAGTTTATGAAAATAAGGGTCACTTTGACCCAGAGCTATCAAGTTCTTCCTATTCTTGGGCATCTCCAAAGATCCATGCTCATGTCATAAACATAAACCATGGGCCTCTCAGGACTGATAGAGAAACAGAACTTGCCTCCCCTGTCATCAGGCCTCAGATGATGTTCCCATCTTGATGGAAGACTTAAATCACCCCCTCGAGTGCCCGCATGAATAGAAAGAAATTACAGGCTTGCTTTTGTGAAAAACCCAGGCTTTCTCCAGTGAAGGTCAGCATCTGCCATGGGTTTCCAGAGGTCCTCCAAAGCAGGGATCTGACCCCGGTGGTCCTGCCAGTTGCGAAATGGGAATAAAGTTCTCTGTGGAACCTAGCCAGCCTCTCACCCAAGGGACGAGATACCTATATAAGTGCCTTCAGTTCTTCAGAGGATAATTAAAACCAAGTATCATTGTTCATATGTATAGGATTCAGTACTCTTAGCTGTTTATCAAAAAAGTTCAGGTGATTTCTCCTTTCACTTCCTCATTAATTTACTTCCCTTCCCCCTCAAGTACTGGGCCTGTTCTGGGTCTGAGCAGAAGGCTGTGCTCTCATGAAGATCCCTTACTGGGAGGGGTTCTCCCCAGAGTTACAGCTGGGCCCCACGTGGTTAGAACTCTCTACACTTGTTCAAGTCCAGTTGAATTCCTAGTTGCTCCAAGAGTAGAAGGTCAATTCACCTTTTAAATGACTTTGCAAACTTTTTAACTCTTAAGATGTATCTTGTTAATATTTGAGATCTACTGTTTATCTTAAAGAGTGTATCCACCCTTTATTCCCATATTTGATGAACATGAAGATCTCTTATCTTTTTTAACGTATTAGAATTTTCAGAATAAACATTCCAAAAAAAAACCAATCAAAATATTTCTAATACTGAATACACTTTTTCAGTCCACACTTGTTCTACCTAGCCAGGGATTCTGATATGGTTCCCTGGGGTAGGCCAGGCCATTCTAGTTGACAGTCACTGATATAAAAAGTATTTCAGTTATTTAAAATATTTTACAGATGCTTCCCAGCAAAGTGCTGTTATTTGATGACATTCACGTTTCAGGTCATTGAGGACTTTGCATACTTTGTAATTCTCAGCTTGTTTGTGGTGCATTTTTGCAGGATGAGTTGGGCCTTTCATCATTCGTGCTTTTGCCTGGCAGAATGTGGAAGGACATTTACAAATACTGAACTCAGGTTCCCAGGCCGCCTCTTTTGGAGGATGTCTGCTCACCCTTTGCAAGTCGTGGCAGTGTCGCATGGGCAAGAGAGACCCCTGTGAAATGCCTCCATTCTCCTCTGGAGACCAGGGGTGCCGGGGACCGCTGTGACTACAGCTGCAGTTACATTTGTAACTACAGCTTCTCTCTTGTATTCTTACTCAGTTACCGGAAGGCAACTTCCATAAACAAATATGTTCCAAAACTTCAGAGTCTTTTCCTGCTTGCTAAATACTAGGTTGGAAAGCTCCAATTACTAGTTCAAAGCCGAACCTCAAAAAATAGATATGTATTAGAGAAGGAATGGAAAAAGCTTGATTCGTTCAGAATACGAACAGAGGAAAGGCATTTCAGATGAGTGAGTCCTGAGTCAAAAATGAAGGAGCTCTCTATATAACTTTTCTATTTTCTTCAGCTTTTGAGTTTGGCTGAGGGAACGTAGAAATGATTGCTAAAGCCCCTGAAAAGTAGGATACTCCTCTTTAGTAGAATACTGCTTTGAGGGGGGCGACGAGGGCACAGCTCAGTGGTGAAGCTTGTGCTTAGCATTCATGAGGTCCTGGGTTCAATCCCCAGTACCTCCACCACCACCACCATCAACAAAAAAGACGAGGAACCTGAGGCATAGAAAGATAATCTCAAAAGTAAATAAGAAAATAAATAGAATACTGCTTTGGAAGAATCAGTTGCAGCAAGAGGTGATCTGTGACCAGTCTGTAGACACTAATTCCCATTTGGTCCTGCTCGGTCATCTTCTTTCCAACATTCTTCTCATAAAATGATTTAAAGCATTTCGTATTTGCTCTCCCTCTAAGTAACACCATAGACTGATAATACTCTTTCAGGTGGGGCTTTGTATCTAAGTTATTGGTGAGAGTTTATTAGCTGGTTCACTCCAAATCTTTTGCCAAAGGGGGGGGGGGCATATTGCATCTGAGAAAGAAATCTATAGTTGTGCAAAAGACACAGACCCCTCTGTCAGTCAGTGTTTCTCTGGTCGCTGTGGTATTGATGAGTGCCCTGGAGTAATCATTTGGTAGGTGGCAGGTACCACTGCTACCTTGTTGTTAACCCTGTGGGCCAAAAACAATCCTTGTTGGCCTCTTCTGTGAGATGTCTGTATCTGATGTTCAGGGATGACACCAAACCATGTATTTTTTTCAGAGTGTCAATCCATATCTACAAGGACAGAGACTGGACAACGTGGTTGCAAAGAAGTCAGTCCCCCATTTTTCAGACGAGGAAAAGGACCCAGAGTAAAGTGGAGATGCTGGGAGGAAACCCACGCTGCCTGCCAAGCCTCCTCGGTATTGCTTCTGCGCACGTGTTATTAGAGCCGCTGTGAGTGGCAGCATGTTTCTAATTTAGACAAATGTGGATGCAAAGCAGCTGTATTTTGATACCGTGTTGTCCTTTACACCGATAGCTCTACTTCCTGCTAAATCAGGATAAGAGCTTTTTTTTTGTAAATGTAGATCTGCAATGAGCATTAAAATTAAAGTGTGAATGTCAACAACAGTCAAAGGCAAGTAAATGAAATGTCTGCCGATTTCTTGGAGTTTAAAATGGTGTTTTGGGTGGCACTGTTTTGACCAAGGCTGTAAAAAGCTGGCATTTGATTTTGATTATGTAGTTCATCCAGCCCTTAGGCATCGTTACACACCAGTAAAGACGATTTCACCCAGGAGGAGGAGCCAACACGTTTCACTTGGCTGCATCTTAATAAATGTGTATGTAGGCGCGGGTGTGAGAAATTTTTTTTTAATGTACAACATCATAAAAACAATGTCTTTGCTTACTATAACAAACTCACTATGATCTTACCTGATCTTAATAATACTGTGAAGTAACTAGGAAGAGGGGCACTGGTATTATTGTACCCATTTTACAGATGGTGGGACCGAGACTCAGAGCGCTCCTATGAAGCACTGAAAGTTGCAGTCAGTACTTGGGGACTAAGATCTGCTGACTCTTGAGTTATTTTATTTATTTGGCAAACATTGAGTTTCTACAATGTGCCAGGGCTGGGCTCTGGGGGTGCACTGGGGACTCTGATACCAACAAGGTCCTCACACAGCAAAGAGTCCAGTCTGAGCTCCGAGTAGGTTGGTCAGCTCCACGCTCCTTTTTAAAGCTTGGAATGGCAGGTGCAGACTTGCTCTCTGCATGTTGCTCCTGCAGGTGTGTGGTTTTCTCTCAGCTGAGTCCTCCCAAGTCAGAAAATCAATTCAGTGAAAGGCTGACAGGAATCAGTTCTCTGGTGAGATTATCTCCTTGCTCTTTACGATTCCTCACTGTAAAGGAGGAGATGGTTTCAGGCTTTGATATCATGAGCCTCAATTTCCCTGTCTATAGAAGAGAGACAGCAGTGAGGAAGTACTCGGAGAAAGATTCTTTTTTTTTTTTTTGGAAAGGTCATTCTTGATTTTAATTTTAATCAGTGCAATTCATTAAAACCGTTAGACTTTAACTAAGTCTAAATGCCGGTGACTTGTCTAACAGAAATAGCTTGACCGTATTTAGTTAGCATGGGAGTCTTAGCATGATGTCTACAAATCAAGACAGGCACTGGCATCTGTTCCATAGCAGGAGGCTTTTTTCTTAGACGGCTTCAGCGGAGTTTCCCCACAGCCACAGCTTAATGTCAGAAGCACCATTGCCACCTGAGTCCAAAAGATAGTTCCTTCGTGTCCTAGAGACATTTAACGCTGGGAGGGTCTTCCTACGGATTCTGTGTTTTGTAAGCCTTTGAATTACATTTTATACCAGTTCCGACTCTCTTAGAAAAAAACAAAGGACATCTTTCTCCGAGATTGGACAGAAGGAAGGGAAAATGGCTAAAGGCGTGTTTTGAGGTCATGAGGAAGGAAGTCCAGGTGGAGGAGGGGAGGTCACTGTGCCCGTGCCTGACCTGTTTGCCCCCAGATGCCTTTTCTGCCCTCCCCAACCTCCCCGGCTCCCTTGTCAGCTGATTTCTGGCTGGTTTAATGTGAGGCCTCTGCGAGCAGAGTAGAAGGTAAGAAGATGGGAGAAAACAAGGTAATTCACTTTTTGTCTCGGTAGCCGTGTCGTCTCTGAAGCTCCGTCCCCTGCCAGGTAAGTCTGGCCCACGGACCCCAATCATGTCGCCTCTTCCCTGGTCCCTGCAGCCTACAGGGCCATGGCATCTGCCATGTGGTTAATCTCTGGGGTATTTCAACCCCTGTTTGGCTTCCTGGCTCTTCTATCACTTGTGTAACCAGTTTTCTATAATGAATTCTTTCCATTTGAAATCCTTAGTGTTTTCTGTTTTCCTGGTTGAACTCTGACTGTTACAGTCATCCACGGGGAATCAAAAATTAAGTTACATATTGTGAGAAAAATTTGAAACAACTATGGTGGGGAACAGACAGGACAGTGCTTTCTTGATCTTTAATGTGAATATGCTTCACTTGGGAATATTGTGAAAAATGTATACTCTGATATAGTAATTCCAGGGACAGGCCTTAGAGCTTGCATTTCTTACAAGTTGGCAGGTGATGCTGGTGGTGCCAGTCTGTGGACACCTTAAGTAGCAAAGGAATAGGGAATTAGGAAAAGATGGATGAAAGTCCATGAACAAGGGGAGAGGGTATAGCTCAGTGGTAGAGTGCGTGCCTAGCATGCACAAGGTCCTGGGTTCAATCCCCAGTACCTCCATTAAATAAACAGATGTGCAAACTTATTATGTACCCCCCCAACTGAAAAATTAAATAAATAAAAACTTTTTTTAAAAAAAGTGCATGAACTGCACTGAGAAACCAGTTTAGTAACAGTCTGAATTTGTAAGGACCCTGCCAACATTGTTTGGTAACCTTATCCAGCCACTCTCAGCACCTTGAAAGGAAAAGCGGAGAGGCCAGACATGAGAGTGAGCCCCACAGAGAGGCACGTGGAAGACATCAAGGCATCAAGATTCGAAAACGAAGGGAAGCAAGCCTGAGAAACCCCATTATAGACATGGGGCTCTGTAATGAGTCGGGCTGGACCAATGATCTGAGAAAGGTCAAAAGAATAACAGAAATGATGTGGACCGAAATAAGCTTCGCTAGGCACAAGGGGTAAAAAGAGGGAAAGGTAAAGGAATTGGCGGTTACAGGGAAGCTGAGTTTGGATTCTTGGCAAAGGAATAATTTCAAGTGATAATGAATGATGTCTCTGTTGTGACAAGGACAGGAAGTAGTTAGAGCCGAGTGCAGCCGAAGAGCAATGGACCCGAGGAAGCGGGGAACAAAAGACAGAACCACTAATGTGAAAGGTAGTCTTTGAGTTAGAGGGGAAGGTCAGGGTCACAAATTTCTGTACAAGGTCAAAGCTGCACATAAGCTTGTGGAGCGCAGGCTGAATCCACAGTCCGAGGGCCTCTGACACTACCTGGAATTCTGTATCTGGGCGTACCTGCTGGGTTTGTTTCTTAGGAAGAAGTTCCAGATTCTTAAAGGGATCTGTGACACCCCCACCCCAACCCCGGGTTGGAAATCACTGCTGAGAGGGGTAATGTGGTTAATTGCTAGTAGATCAATCAGGCCAGCAGCATGTGAACCCACTGGTCAATCAGGTCAAACTAGAGACAGCCATTCTGTGTCTCCTGCTGTGATCAATATGAAGCCCTGTCAATGAGATAGTCTTGCTCAGACGATCTTACCTGAACCTCTAGATTTAACTCCCTGCTAATAGAACCATGTTAAACACACCACTGGGTAGCAAACATCAAAGTCCAGGGTGGGGGGAGACTCTCCTGGACAAGTGACCTAGAGGTTTTCAACAAGTAAATGGTGGGAATAAAGAAAAGATGAGGAACTATCATTATAGATTTAGAAAGACTTAAAAAGACATACAAACCAAATACTACATGTGTGAGTTTTATCTGTATCTTGACTCAAGTCAAACAAAAAAGACATTGATGAGACAACCAGGTAGCAACTGGAAATTTGGTGATGTTTAGGTGTTACTTGGTATGATGGCTGTATTTTTTTAAAACAATCCTATCCCTTAGGGATAAATATTGAATTATTTATGAATGAAATGATAAGATATCTTGGAGTTGCTGTAAAATAATCCAGTGGAGGGAGGGAATTGGGGGTAGAGATGAATCAAGATTGGCCATAAATTGATCATTGTTGAGGTTGGTCATGGTCACATGGCTGTTCGTGGAACTTCTATCTCTACACTTGTGTATATTGGAAAGTTTTCACCATAAAACCAAATTCATGGTTTAAAAGTCAGAGTTGATTAGGGTAAGCATTGACCTGGAAATAGCAATGTAGGCCAAGGTAAAATTTACTGAGTAAGACTGTGGAAAATGTGAGGAAGCAAAAAGGAAGACTGCTGAAGAGCTTCCCTGGGATGCTGGGGGTTCCACAGGAGACAAAATCTGGTGGTGTGGGTGAGCTGGGTGGGGAGGGATCAGAGTCCCCGGGACGAGGAGGGGTTCTCCTGGGAAGAGGCAGATGACTTGAGGCAGGAAAGAAAGGGGACCTCCATCAGACTGAGACTCCAAAAGGCCATTTTTTTTTTTTTTCTGGTGGAGTCTGGGCTGCACCTGCAGCAGAAAACACTAAACTCCCTGGGTGCTGGACAGGTCGTTGCCTCCCCTCTGGGGTCTATAAGTTTTTCTACAAGGCTTCAGCCAAGGATCGTGGAAACCAGGAAGATGGTTATAGATCCCCACCCCCTCCCCTAACACACACACACACACACACACACACACACACACATATACACACGAGAGCAGAAGAAGACAGTGCTGGGCACAGTGACCAGATTGTAAGGCATCCAGCGCTCACACCAGCAGCAGTTAATCCCAGTTGGACCCCCACTGTGGGCACAGCCAGCTGGAGGCCCTGGGGAGCATTTACACAGCCTGAGGAGGACACACGGCCCCTGGCCTGAAGGAGTTTACGATGAGGCCATTCTAGAAGAGAATTTCCTCCATTCTCACTGCTGGGGGAAATGGGTGGGGGTGGGTGGGTGGGGATGGGTGGGGGTGGAGAGAACCTTTCCTATTTACCCTGCTAGACACAAGGGCAGAACCATCCTTTCCTGTTCCCTTTTCCTTTGAAAACTTTCAGAGATAGCAAGCTTCACTGAGAAATGTCACAGATACCAGCCTCACCAGAGGCACCAGAAATCCCCAAGTCCTCTGTATCTGCCACAGGATCACGTGGTGATCTCTGAGGTGCCACTGCCTCGGCCCAGGGGAACGAGGGAGCCAGGAGAATGGGAATATTTATTTAAAGTAGCGAATGTCACATTGTTAGCTGGAGGAAGTCAGTCCTCCTGGAGGACTGTGGGGCAGATGTCGGAATCCTCAGGGAGGTCGGGGGTGTGAGGGAAGGACAGGGTTAATCGTTATATTTACTACTTGGCTGGCGGGCCTGCACAAAAGGGAGAGTGAGAAAACGCAGTAGGGGATGTGGGTTGAAAAACACTGAGAAGCCCTGTTTCTGGGGATTCCCCATTAAATGACTTACAGAAAGTACTGATGTAGGGATACCGTATGTGGTGGGGGGGGGCACAACTGCGCAGCTGTAAAACTAAAACAGCAATGCTGATGCGCAGCGCAAAGGCACAGGAGGGTTCATACAGGCCCACAGCCACATGTCAGGGGCAGTGAATGGTGAATAAAGGTAACGGAGTCTAGGAGCCCAACTCGGGGTGGGGTGGGGAAGCAGCTCCACAGAGTCTAGTTCACCCCCACATCTGTGAAAACCCTCCCTT